AGGACACTCCACAATCTCCCTTGGCAGCCTATTCCAGGGCTTTGTCACCCTCACAGTGAAGAAGTTCCTCCTTACATGCATATGGAACTTCCTATGTTTCAACTTGTACCCATTTCCCCTTGTCTTGTCACTGGCCACCTTCCTGCCTACATTCTCTCATCAGGTATTTGTACATATTGATCAGATCCCCTCTCAAACTTCTCTTCTCCAGGCTAAAAAGGCCCATCTTGCTTAGTCTTCTAAAATAGATGCTCCAGTCCCTTAATCATCTTTATTGCTCTCCACTGAACACTCTCTAGAAGCTCCATATTGCTCTCTTACTAGGAAGCCCAGGAGTGCAACCAGGTACAGCCTCCCCAGAGCTGAGGAGAGGGGCAGAATCACTTCTCTCAACCTGTTACAGAGAGACATACAGAGAACAAAGAGGTTATGACAGAACCAGTGATGAGTTAGAGGTGATTGAGTAGTATATCCTGCTCAGAGTTAAAGAGGAAGGTGATCACTAGGGTAAATATGTTTGTCTAGGTACATCAGCTGTGGGAATCAGCTATGCTGATTAGCTTTCTTCAAAGTGCAAAGAGAAGAATAGTGCAGTAATATATGGAAATCAAGAAAAAAAAAAAAAAGGAAATGCTTTCTCCTAGGCATATTTTTTATCTTTCTTTAAGAGTTACAAGCTGTCAGAAAACAAAATATTTTGAAGGAGGACATCCATACTTATGTTCAGTTAGATGAGAACTGTAGGGGCCTCAACCTGTGCTTAAGAATCAGGTAGTTTACCCTTCTGTTCACTACAAAGAATCTTCCACTCCTCTGCTTTAGGCTTTAAACTGGCTTAAAACAACCTTCCTTCCTGTCTTTCTTTAGTTTCCTATATTATGTATTTCATTATGATATACTAATAGTCACATGCCAGTTTTAAAGTCTAGGAATACTGTGTGTTCTGAAATCAGTCTCTCATTGAATAAGACTATTGGTATAAACAACATTTGGCCACTGAAAGTAAAAGATTTTATTTTATTTTATTTTATTTTATTTTATTTTATTTTATTTTATTTTATTTTATTTTATTTTATTTTATTTTATTACCAAGTTGCTTCTACATAATAATCTTCCTGTGTTTTAGTGCAACATGTTTTGAGACATGTTTCTTCATTTACAGAGCTCATGCTCAGAAGCTGAGCAAGATTTATGTCTCTTTTTGATGTCACAAAAAGATTGTACTGTTGCATTGTGAGATGCAGCAGCTGATAACAGCCTGAGTGAACAGCAAATGTGTGAGAAAAAAAAAAATCATCCAGGATGCTTTGAAACACACTTTGGAGTTGAACATTCTGAAACTGGGATATACTGATTGTGGACAGAGCCTTTTTTCTTTTTAACAAGTAACTGGAAATCCATTGCAAAGTGTTCTATTATATAAAAGAGTTAAGAACACTTTAGCGAGAATCTTGGCATCATGTCACTGTAACCTCTGCCTGCCTGGAACGCATCCGAACAGTTTGTGTGAGAAGCCCTTGGACAGGCTCCATTTGTTCCCCAGTTCCAACAGCATCATCCAAGAAAGTGGCTCTACCATGTGCCGAACACCGTCGGTTCCCATTAGCTTCAGTTTAAGTGAGGGGGAACAGCCCTTCTTGGGAAACGCAAAGCAGTGTCAGATCAGATTCTTAAGATGAAATTCAGTTCTCTGCAGCAGATCTGCACAAAGCCTATGTATCATTTAAGTGCCACTTTATTCCTTATAATGGAGCTTGAAGTGGTTCCCAAGAATCTGATAGTCTTTTTGCTGTCTGTCTGCACGGGACTGAATTTCACCCCGCGTGAATATACACAGTGAAAATGCAATAATACTGCCTCAGGAAATACACTGTATTCATTTGCTTTGACTAGTGTAACTCAGCTTAAATTACAGATGAAAATTCTTGATGCTCTACTGATAAAACTGTTCTATACCTGCTCTATATATTATATATTTTGCTTTCCTGTGGCATTCTGCTATAATGAGCAAACCTAAAAGCAAAAATGCAGGACTGGACATAATGCCACAGAGATGGCTATGGCCTGGGCTCTAAAAATGTGCTTGAGCATGTTCTTAGGAGAAGATAATGTGCGTGTAAAAGCATCAATTTCTACAACAGCATAAGAGTGCCTGTAAGGCCCACTCTCAGCAAATGGTCTGCATAGCAAAGCTACAGAGGGGAATGTGAGTGTAAATTGTGTTTGTGTGTGTGTTTGTGGAACAAGCATACCATTGTTATGTGTCTGTTAACATTGTGAGTGTCATGTATTGTGGTCAGTGTTTAGTGCTGTTCAGTACTGATCCTGAATGTATAGTTCAATGTTTACTGGTTAACAGCCATTAATAAATTCATAAACCAGTTTGACCCTGATAAGCTTTATACCAGATAGGCTGAATAGGTTCTCCCACTCCACAACAATACTGAATTTTGTTCAATATTCAATTCAATGGGCTTGAATTCTCATGGCCTAAATGTATAGGCTAGCCTATGTGTTTAACACAGATATTATTTTCATTGTATGTTCTGTTAGATTCTCTTGGTGTCTTCCAAATTTGTGTGGAAAAAGCCAACAGAGCAGGGACTCCCTATATTTGTGGTATAACAGATAAATCCATTCTGAGAAAGCACCCAAACACACACTCAACATAATCCTTGGAGGAGATAAATATTTTTCAAAAATTAGTTAAATTTATGTTTCCAGGAAGACCTTCCACCTGAGATAGTAGAGGACATTAATACATATTTTGGGGGTTAGCTGACTATTCATTTTTTAATGATCCTTCATATTGTTGAGATACTGCTAGAAATACCTATTTTGATATGTGATTATAAAATATATCAATGCAGGTAGGCGATGCTTGTTGTTAATTTAATGAACTTTTCCTGCAAAGCACTCAAGTAGGCTCTCACCCTTCCCTCAGAAAGGGTGAGAATATTAGTTATACATAGGAGATTTACCCTTGAAAAATTCTACGATCCAGTTCTTGGTAGAGTAGTGCCGATGGACACCAAGTGAGATCCAGATTTTTTTAAAGTATGTGCTATAATAACTTTGTGGAGCTGCTTCAAAAAAAAAATGTGGTTATAAAATTGTTTGGGAATAATTCCTTCAGTGACATATATTGCCTAACAATCAATGCAAATTCCTATGTAGAGGTTTGGGAGCTAAAGTATTTTTTGTAATGAAAATCTTAATATGAATTTCAGATGGAGCTTCCACTTAAATAAATCAGTGTTCATTATGTTGCTGGAGCTCACCAGCAATTGTACTGGGATTGGGGATGCAAGTTGTTCACGTCAAAATATTGGAATGGATTTTATTAAAAGACTTTAAATTATAGTTCTATTTGTTGCCATGTTCTAGCGGCACTGGGAATTGTATTCTTAAGTAGTTTCAGACAGAGGAAGTCAGGGAAATTGTGATACTGAATCGCACGTTCAGGTGATCAGGGAGAGATGGATCTGCCACAAGGTTAAAAAGGCTGCTCTTCAGCTCCTTGGACCCAACATTAATTTGGAGCATCATAAGCTTCTTGTACACTTCTCTTGCTGAGCATTTCCCCTGTGTTTCTTTTTTTTTTTCTGTATTGGGTTTGTATTTGCTGAAATCTAGTGCATGAGAATGGTGTCACAGCTCACTGTACGGGAAGGCCTTGTCTGAGTCCCTGTGTCCCCTGTATCAGTGTTGTTCTGCCCCTTCCGTGCTTGAACACCCTTTTGAAGGAATTAGGATGGCTAGGTTTTCTCTCAGTGAAGCCCAGATGATCTCTGAAGGAGCTGTGGACAGTTTTTTGTGTGCTAAGAACCTTATCTCATCCTAGTCTCAATGAAAGATGAAGTGTTTGGGTGTTCTTGTATCATATAGTATGTACCTAGGGCACTGTTCAAGTGAGTGCAGTTGTGTGTATATGTCCTAAACTCAACCCTCTGTCAGAAAATCTTGACTACAGCTAGAGAATGAAAGACTACTGGAATGTTAGATATTAGTTATAATGCTCCATACTCTACCAAAGGCACTCAGATACAATGAAAGAGACCATACACACACCCCCACACACATAACCCCACACACTCTCATAAAACTACCCTCCTCCCTGCTGTCCCTCTTTGAGGAAAGAAATCTCTGCCTGCAACTCCCCTCCAGTGTGTTTAATGCAGTCAGAGCTCTGTTGCTCCCAGACTGTTTGATACATGACCTTGAGGAAATTCTGCAGAAACAGCTTGCCAGAGACACTAGGTGCTAGTAGGAGCCACCAAGCACCCAGCATGATGCCTTGCAGTCAGGGAGCTGCTTGGCAACTTCCCCTCCCTTGTAATAACAGCATAATAAGGTTTACGCTTCAGTGTTTTCCCTCTGCTTGCTGTCTCTCTCCCCACAGTTTCTTAACCTTCACTTCTGTCAATGCTTGTCCTTCTTGCATTCCTCATTCTTGCCCTTACCCATGTCTACTGCTATGATTATCACAGTTTCATAGTCACTGCCTTTCCCTTTTCTTTCCAGTCATGTTTTATAGCTCTTCTCTCACCTCTCTCTCATGTCTGTTTACTCTGTAAGCTCTTCAGGATAAGAAGTGTCTGTCAGGTTTGTGCAGGGTCTAACACAGTGGATCTCAGCTTAAGTCTCTTTTGGATACCATCGTGATCAGTAATTCATTCCTCTTCAGTTATTAGAACCTTCAGCAATATTTCACCAACTGGAGAGTGCATGGAATTAGAAAATTAGCTAATTTTTATGTTCTCTGTGCTTACACAAGAGCTGCCTTGTGTTTTGCTGTTGTTTTCTGAACTCCTATTTTTATTATGAAACTGGCACAGCAGGTGTTGTAAATAATTTTGTAAATTGCCTCAGGCTGTCTACATCATAACCTATGGCTGCATTATCAGATGATGAAAATAGACAACTCTAATGAGAAAGTGTTCAGAGATAAGTGAAATGTGAACCCTTCTGCCAACTATTTTTGCTTTTCTCTTCCATAGCACGAATTATCAAAACAAAGCAGTGGTGTGAAATGCTTCCATGTTTAGAAGGAGAAGGCTGTGATTTGCTAATCAATAAATCAGGCTGGACCTGCACACAACCAGGGGGACGGATAAAGACAACCACGGTAGGCCACCCATCTTTCTATATTTTTAAAGCTTTTCTTCACTGTAGTTTACTGAAAAGTAGAAAGAGAGGTTTTAAATCATGTTTCAGTACAGATATGTAGTCTGATGCCTTATAATTAAATTATGTGCCCAAGTGGGTTCATTGAAATACATACCCATGCTAACACAAAGACAGGAAACATGTATAATTCCCACAGATGCTAAGTGACAATTATGTACAAGTTTACTTGAAAGCAACTAGTGGTTTATAGAACACCTATTTTGGGGCAGAAAAATGTATCCTTGTGCTTTACGGTGCAAGATTTTTCCTCTTGCCAAAGTGTAGGGCATAAAACTGAATTCATGATTTCAGTTCAGCAAAGTGAAAAGAAAATTTTCTTCAGAAACTGGATAGGAAATAATTTTACTACTCCCCCATGTTGAAAAAGCAAGGTTCACAAACATATCTTCAACTTTCAATGAGTCAATGAGCGAGACCTAAAGAAAACATAAGAGAGTCATTCTTTTACCTTCCCTTTGGTCCTGGTTTGGTGCTAAAACCTTCAAATATCTGATGTGTCCTGGACTTGAAGAAATTGTAGTGAAACTGGCTGTATATGACAGTAATAGCTTCTGACGCTTAGATTTCTAGAAAATGTTCTCAGACACTAGTAATTCTTCAAGAAAGACTTCAAAAAATAGAAAATCTCACCTCTTGAGATGATATTTTCTCCCTATAATCTTTTGAGTTTTTTAAAAAACATTTATAAGGAGCTTGATTCCATATTTACATATGTTCAAGTTCAACAGTATTTCATCTTAAACTCACCATTCTACATAGACTGCTTATTAGTGAGGACTAAATTAAGGCCCATCATTCCCTGCACCTTTTTTTTTTTTCTTCCTGTGCAGGAGATGATAGGCACTAGTGCAAAACCTTTTTTGTTTTAGAATGCCTTTATTTTGGAAAATTAGCATGTTTTCACTTTCAAAAATGAAAGTTTTGGTGATACATTGTGATATATCTACAAAGCAAACTTCATGAATTATGGTCACTGTTTTGTTACTCCTATATTTCTCAGACATAATTTACTTAACTGACAGCACTGCAAAACTAACTCAGTCTTGGAGGTGTTACTTATATATCGTTTGCCTTTTGATCTTTTTCATTCAATTTATGTAATGATGATATAAAAACAAAGGTAGGAAATAAATATTTGAAATAGTAGCAACAACTTCCAAGGACAAAAAAGATCTAATATTACGATAACTTTAGCATACCAAAAATACTATCTTAAATCGCATGAATTAATTTCTCTATATGAAAGGTGAAGCAGAAAATTCATGTACTGTGGCAGATTTCCAATCATCATTACAGTTCTTTTTTGATGTTTTATGTTAATGACATGACTGAGTAATGTAAGCAAGCAGAGGATCTGTGTTTTAATGAAGTGATTCAGACTCAGTTTATAGCCTTTCAGATCTAACACCAGAAACTCAGTTCTGAACTCTTAGTTGTTTGTGTTGCTCTTTATTTCTATTGATATAAGTGGAATTGCTCATGATTTTGATTAACATAAATAAAATCATAGTCATCCCCCATCTTGCTAAAATTATGGCTATGTTAAATGCAATATTATTAAACAGATTCTATCCTGTTTGGATACATGCAGACATAATTGGCCTTAGTGAAGAGAGGCTCAGCCCAAAAGCCAGCTGCAGAGCAGCTCTGAGCATAAGCCCTGATGTAACTTCAAGCATCTTTCAACAGTTGGTATCGCATATACAGACACACAAACTCATATACACACACAGAGTACTTTTCAGCCAAGCTAGCAACCCAGAGTGTTTCAAGAAGCTCTGAATCCGGAAAGAGAGTGGAGAGGGAAAAATAAGAAATAACACCAAGATGCAGTGCACTATTACTAAAATCAGAAATGTATGTTTGGTCTATGGCTGTTTGGTTGAAGGGAGGTTTGAGGAAATTGTATCCTACATTAACCTCATGTGACTGTGATAAAACCCATTAAAAATAAAATAAAAGAGCACACTGAATAGAAATACAAGGAGATGTTATTTCTTCTAGGAATACTCTTGGGTCAGCAAATGCTGTTACACTCCAGTAACTTTCATTTTTGCTCATAGTTAACACACCTGCATTTCTGGGTCAATACTGGCATTTAAGTATAGCGGAAAGGATTAACAGTGCCCTGGGAAGGGTCAGGAAAATAGTCCCAGGAAACATGGAGTAGTCAATGTCCAAATATATTAAGTGAATTACTATGCATTAAATGTCTAATATTCAATGGAAATAATTCTTGATAATAATTCGCATCTCCAGTGATAGAAAGATGAGGTCCTTGATATGTTAACTTTCAATTTTGACACAGTTGTTAATCTAGTATTTGCACGCTCTTCCTGCTAATGTTTATTTATATCTTGAAGATACCTAGCAGTAGGTCTTGCATTATCATAGGGGTCTGTGTAATGTAGCAGAGATATCAGTGTTTGGTAAATGCTGAGGACAATTATTTGCTACCTAAGGCTGCTAAAGGCAGAACAGTATTGAACTCTGATGGACTGAGAGCAGCTGTCATGACAATACCAACTTTGCATTCATTTCAGATGCCTGTGTAGAAGTACAGTGTTTATGTATTGCGATTAGAGGTAGCACATGAAAGGTAGTACTTACTAGTGGAAATCTTGTCTGGGAGATGAGGCTTTTTTTGTGTGAGAGTGTACTTTAGGTCATCGAGTTAAATGTACTTTAGGAAAAAAAGAAAGACAGGATTCTTTTTCCATAATTAATTTAATGTTTTCTTTTTTCCTTATGAAAATACCAAGCAAACTGCAAATGAAAATACCATTTTTTCCTCCAAAGCATAAGTGCAATTTCCTAAGTTGTTTGGAAAGTGCTGCTGCCACTCTATGCTTTGTGTCAAAGTTATTTAGGCTTTCTGTGCAGAGCCAGATTTTTTTTCAATGCCTGGCACTTTTTGTAATCACCCCTGGAAATAATGCAACCAAATCAAAATTCTCTCCTCACATGGGTAGCAGTGTTTTATGTCCATTTTGTGCTCACTTTGCACAGCTATAAATGACTACACAAGGTGCAAGGCAAAGGAGAATCAGACTCAAAGTATACTCTAAATGGATCTGGATGTCACTTCTGCCCTGTCATCCTTTCTACAAGGTGTGAATGAACCAAAGATTTTTCATCTGCTAAGAGGCTTTTAGAATTGAGGATTGACTGGGCTAACTGCCAATCTATATATTAAGCAGCTGATTGTCAATACAAGGAAACAATATGGCAACTTGTAAAGGAAGATGCTTGTAAAAGAAGAAAGTGAGAGAATACTACACAATTGTTAGCACTTTGAACATACTAAGTGCTTTCATACAGCAAATGTCCCTATAGTCACTTTAAAATCATCTGCCTTAAAAACTGTTCTGCTTTTGCTATTCTCTTTCCTCATTCAATTCTTTATTTATTTTTTTTTTCGAAAAGCATGTAGTTTCAGTAGTGCCAGATCTTTTTTTTGAGATACTATTTCTTTTTTATATATCAAGTACAAAACTTGCCAGTGCCTAAATGAGAAGATACACAATATATTGGCTTTACAAGGGAGATTAATTTTAGAACCAAAGTGTATATATGTTGTCAATGATCCATCACTACCTAATTGTTACTTAATTAATTCCTTCTTCTACATGGTGTGATTTCAATGCATGGAGCTTAAGAGAATATTCATGCGCCAATTCCTCAGTAGCTAACCTTTCTAAACCTTTGCAATTTTACTGTTAAATTAGCTGAAGTGGGAAATTAAGGAAATGAAGAAGCTAAGAGAGAGCTCACAGTGGATAAAAGGTGTAATTACTCTGACATGGAGCTCAGTGCTTAGCTAGTAAAATTTACTAAGGATCTAGCTTCACCAAGGGACGTGACTTTCTTAATAGAGTTTACTTACACACAGAGCAACCTAACATTCCTTGCCATTAATATAAATGACGTGCTGGCTGAATTGGAAAGGCAATTTGTTCCTTACCTTGAGAAATACTATAGTTGTTTGCATTGGCTGCAATTTAAATGAAGATTTTTTTTCTGCAGATCTTTATCAGACACAGATGTATGATAAAGATAAATTGGATATGTTGTACCAGCTTCTTTTTCATCATTGACTAACCAACAATGTATTCTCATTCATACCATTGTATTCAATTTTTGAAGTAAAAAGAAATATATATATGTTACATATTTGTAACATACCTGAGAATTTACTTTTTTTTAGACTGAAGACCAGCTGGAAATATCCTGAGGCCATGATCTAGTGGTCTGAGCTTGGGACTGGGAGCCAGAAACTCCTGAGCTCTAATCCCGGCTCTGACAGTGACTCCCTCTGTGGCCTTGGGTAAGTCACTAAATGTCTCTGCCTCAGTTTCCCCAGCAGTGGACATACATAAGTTCAATTAACCTTAATGACCTATCTCGGTGGATTTGGAAGTCTTGAGTTAAAATATTAAGAGATTTAGGAGTTCAGAATGACTGAATATACAAATATTGTTTGTTATAAATGTCCTTACCGGTGATTTCATGTTGTTGTTAGGTACTCACATAACTCTGGCATTCCTGTACTTATCCTCAGCTATATCCCAGATCTGAGAATTTCTAAGTGTACATTTCATATCACCACAAGTCAGCTGGTTTCTTTTGTTCAAACTGTTTTGGGGAGTTTTTTGACATTACTCCAGTTCTATCTCTGTATGTTCAGATATCCTGCTCACCAAAATAAATCTTCGGACTATTCTAAATTAAAGTAGTGGAATTACTCAGGCATGCCATGCCATGCCATGCCATGCCATGCCATGCCATGCCACGCCATGCCATGCCATGCCATGCCATATTAAGCTTCAGTCTCCCCACTTATGAGTGGCCAGTTGATGGAATAAATTTATTATATATTTGATCCACTTATCAGAAGTTCATCAACCATTTTCCCTCACTGACTTAACTGTAACAAGAATACTACATACAGATCAAGATTACAGAAAGTATTTTCCATGAGGTCGATATATGCCTTCATCCTGATCTAAAGAAGTGTCATAAGAAGCCAACAGGAAATTGTCATCCTCAGTGTAGTATAGGACTACGTGTGAAGGAGACTATGAAGGTTGGAGACTGATATGTCATATTAACATCAAGAACTTAAAATAGTACTAAAGAATTCATACCTCCATTTCATAGTGTGAATATTCATGGTACAAATGTTAGAAGATGAACCTGTTACACATATACATTCATTTTGAAACATTTATTTTTTGAGAATACCTCCCAAAATTTCTGTTAAATCGTGCAAAAAAGCTATAATTCTTGGACTGAAGCCATCAGAAAATGAAAAAAAAAAGCATGCAATAGGTGTGATAGCATAGGAATTTTGATAATCCTTTAGATCTCTCTTAAAATCATACTTGAAAATTCAGAAAGGCTTGTCACATTGAAAACTGTAATTTCATCAAGAAATTGATTGAGGAGCTTAGCACATAATAATAGTTAAAAAGAGTATTGATGTAGGTCATGGTAGTCCAGGAAGTGACAGATTTGTGCAAGGTTTCATTTTATTTTATTAGGAGTGTTTTCAAAAACATAAAAGCTGTTGAGTCCTTTGAAAAACTGTGGAAAGCAGGCACCTAGACGTTTGTGTTTATTCTGCTATATTTTCATTTAGCATCTTGAAGAGAGCTCTGGTACTTAGCAGCATCATGTCTGTGCACAAGTTTCTTTACCCTGAAGTTAGACCTAAAGGGTAATATTGATTATTTATCAATTCAGTTAATTCCTACCTGGAAGGATTTGCTCTCATCTATTTTTCCTGTTCATATGTGTATGATCATGCTGGGGTTTGCAGGGAGGCAATGAAGTTTGCAGAGTTACTGCAACAGGACAATATCATGGTGAGACCTGTGTTTCAGTAGAGATGAGCAGTCTCATTACACAGCTGAGGCAGGAGGTTGGAAGTGAACCAAGTGTTAAGTGTGGAAGTAAAGACTGGATGATGCCTAATCCAAAAAAAAAAAAAAAAAAACCCACAAAAAAACAAAGAAGCAAACAAACAAACAAAAAGCTATGAGGGTAGGACAGGAAAACAAAGGAAAAAGATAAAGAGGAACCAGACCTTTCTGTCCCTTAAGAGGGCAGCTTCATGGTAGCCTAAACTGCCCCAGTCCTGTTCTCCCTTCCCTCTGTTTATGCCTCTGTTTATGCCTGTCTCTCTTTTGGAGAGACACTAAATGCTTTGAGAATTGCCTGGAGAGCCAGACTTTCCTGGAAACTGCCTGGAAAGCCAGATAATTTTAAGCCACATAATTTTCTGAATACAGTCCTCCAGAGTTGCACACATACAAGTGCTGGCTAAAGGAAGGGATGTGAATCCATAATTTAGGTGACAGAGGAAGTAGAACAGCACTAGAGTACAGCAGCTTAGATTTTCTCAGTCCAAAACCAAAGGGATATATCCACCTTTATCTACACAGTTCCCATATATTCTGGGCCATCAGCAACTGCTGCTGGGTGCCTAGTTAGTTCTTTCAACTAAGAATGCTATACTTCACCATTTGCACTTACTGAAGATTCTAAAAGTTGTCTCTGAGATACTGCAATAGGGTTTTCTTTCCCTATTCAGGGAAGACATTCATGTATACTCTTAAGATAATTGAAAGCACATATCCTAAACTGTGGAGGATGCAGTACTGTTATTGAATTGAGACTTTAAAATAGTTTATCTGCTCTCTATTACCGGTTCACTATTTATCATTTTCTTTAGAGCATTAATAATCATAGAGATTATACTTTTGAACTTGAATGCAGTCCCTCTGTGAATAATATGGTAACTGATTTCTTCCAAAATATTTATTTCTACTGATGGATATTGGACATCTCTAGTACAGTAAAGAAACTCGGAAGTCACATAAAACTCAGATACACTCATAAAGAAATAATTTTGCTATATCTGGGAAGCAGCAAGAGGTTGCTATGATAAAAGGCTGTCTTGGAGCAATATTTCTAAACCTAAATGGACATGTGAGCATATGGCTGAGGACAGCTAGCAAAGAGCCAGTTCGGATCAGTGAGACTTTAAAGAAAGAAATGCCTTCCTATACAGTTGAAATAGTTAACAGTTACAAAATGGCCAGTTACCTGTTTTGAAGTAATGTGAAAATCACACTATTTCCCGTAGGCCAGATCTCTGAGCACTTTTTATTCTCCTTTCTGTTCCTCTTTCTTTCTCTAGGAAAATCTTGAGAATCCCCATCCCCATTTCCTCCTGCAGCGAAATCTTATAATAGTTCCAACTAAAACAGAATTTGATTCTTTATAAGAATAGAAATGTCTTATATGTAAAAGTTTTAGGGATCATGGGGAACTGATACGCAATTCTCCTAACAGTACAGATAGCTTATTCAATCCGTGTCCCTCTGGATGGGCCTTAAAGAAGACAGTCATGCCTTTGAAAGATAGTTGGACTGGATAGAATGAGATTAAATGGTGATGTTTATTGTGCTGACTCACTGATACATTTTATTGAGGATAGCATTTTTCAGACCTCTGTAGTAATTTCTTACACATGAAGTCAGTAATACAACTGGAGATGCATTTGGCCATTTCTTAAGGGATGGTGCTACCTCAAATCACAAAATAAGGGATTTCTGTAGCTAAGAAGTATGCAGGCCTGCTTTGATTTAAAGGGGAAAATCCTTTGTGTAACACACTGCAGTTTTGGGGCATCCTGTTCTAGCTTAGGAAGGAATCAGGTACAAGTCAATTCTATGAGTTCACATAGCTTGTGAGATTGGCACATCTGAGTCTTGGACAAGGTCAGAAATTTTATAATAAGATTTATTTCTGAGAATTGTTAAATTTGACTTGAATTCATAAATAGGCACAGTTTAAGTGTCTGAGCCTAGAGCATGAGCCAATGTGCCCGACTTTGCTATTCAGACAGAGAAATAAGTCCTATTTAGATATACATCAGGACATTGAGTTTTCTGTTTTCAGTAGCTCTATAGACATCTTAGGTATCTCTAAAAGACAGCTCAAATCTCTTCAGGTTAGTTTTTTATCCAATGACAATTTAAAAGTGTATATATCTTTCTGCAGGATAAGTCTGTAGCTTTTGTTTTAATCCTTTTTTAGTGTCTTATCTACTGAACTTGGACAGACATTATCCTGTCTGCTCTCCATCAGATTTCATGATTTGTATTCTTTGCCTCACAGTGGCTTAACTTTTGGAAGAGGAGTGAAAAATAGTCTGATTCAGGTCATTTGCCTAGTGATCATGGCATTTTCCTTTAATATAGGAGCTAGGGATTCAATTTCCTTTGCTATAAATAGGCTATAAAGCCCAGGTTTCCTTCCTCCTGGATATAGTCTAACCATTAGTTCATTAGTTAGGCGAAGATGAATGGACCTGTTGTCATCATCCTTGGTTATCCACAGGGAGAATATGTTTTCTGACTCCTGCTAGTGGCTTGGTGGTTCATTTTGTGATCTGCCTAAATCTGGGGTGTAACAGAAGCCATCTCAGAATATTCACTTTTAAGTATGAAAAAATTAGAATTTCATTGACATTTAAAATTCAGATCAGTGATACCTACTATATTAAAGCCTTGAAAAACATGATAAATAAAAGACAGTATTTCACAGGTTTAAATGCTTATGTCCTAAGCTAGGTCCTAACCTAGTCAGGGTGCCTCATTCATTGCTAAATTGTCAAATAATCGTTAAAGTGCTTTTTTCCTCAGACTTTCAATAGTAAGTTGCTGTTTATGGAAGGGAAGGGGTTTGGAACCATTAATAAAATTGAACCCATGCTCTGTTCTATCTAGGCTACTGCCAGCAATCCAGAGCATCAGAGTTGCATAAATAGAGAGATTGAGTAATGTGCTTAGTGCAGGGTAGAGGAGTGTTGCAAATATATTTGTGGGTGGCAAATTCCAAACATTTAAGTTTGATGACTAGCTTTAGTTTTATAGTCACATTTTAGGTCTATATTTTTAAGTCAAATCATCACGTTACACTCTCTCCTTGAAATGATTTGACCTGGAGAAGGACAGCATTCCTTTCACCTCCATTTCATTTATTATTTGGGTATGTAGATTAAACATATACTTGCACTTCTAAGGCATTGAAGTCATCCTGTTTCCAATACATTTTATTATACTGGGTACAATTCCTTTCATGTCTGTTTTTCCTTTGTGAATTGCTGTCTTATTCTTCTCATCCTTGCTGTAACTAACTCCACTGAAATTAATGGCATTACATCAAGAATGAATTTATCTATGTATGTAATAATGCTAGCTATTTAGAACCTCTAATTACAAAATGCATGCTTTGCTGAACTGCAGTGTT